ACCCAGCACTGGGGTGGAGGAAGGATACAGGTCATGACACTGAACACTATGAAAAAAAGAAAAGACACTAGTCCAAAACCTGTTCTACAATCAGGCTGAATTCCTTCCTTTGCCTCTAGGACACAGAGTTTACTACACAATTAAATAAACCTTTATTACTGCCCCCACTATATATAGACCTAGAGCAGCAAAAATTATCCTAAACTAAGCTAATGCTGACAAAATTAGAAACTGGCAATATGCTGTCTAATATTATTTAGTTTGTGACTAAACTGGCCTTTCTAGACAGTATAGGTCTTCCTTTTCTACTGCTGTACATATTCTGGCCATTTTTCTGTTCCTTTAACAACTTACTACTAGATGGCAGAAAAGTTAATTCCATTATTTGTTAGGGGGTTGAAAATAAGGTTAGACAGTAAATAAACTGTAGTCTAAACCCGAAATAATCTCCCATAAACCCTCTCAGAAAAACAATAAAGATATTTACCCAGCAAACACTAACAAACTGATGAATAAGCCTCATTACAGCACATCTCCTCCTTCACCTTAACCATTAAATGTTCATTTTGTAATCCCCCCATTCCAAAAAGCACTCATAAAAATAGAAGAATATGCCAACATTAAACTGCAGCACTCATATCAAAACTATCCCTTAGAATCTAGTCACCTTTTTCTTCCAGTCTGCTGAACTTCAAAAAAAAAAAAAAAAAAAATTATCATATATTACCAATGCTAATTTTCTGCTCCCAGAGCTTCCACCACTAAATAATGCAAAAAAGAAATATTCTATAATATACTATGGAGTATAATAAATTCAACTAAAATGGTACAGGTATCTCTGCAGAGCTTAATGTATGAGAAACTGTAGTCAACTTCTCAATAACCCACAACTCTGTTTTACTGGTCTTAGGAAGCATTAACAGAGTAACAACTGTATTAAATTGTTGCCAATTTGCTATATAGACAATCAGCCACTGGAGGCTACACTCATTGTAAACTTGCAACAAATTAGAAGTTTTCACAAGTACTCTACATCCTCTGGTCAAGGTTTGAAATTATGTAGCTCAAAAATTTTTAAAAAGAAGTCCTAATGCCTACCTGTAATGTCAGCTACCCCAAGGCTGAGGCATGAGAATAGTGAATATGAGCCCCCTTTTAGGGCTGGGGATGTGGCTCAAGCGGTAGTGCGCTTGCCTCAGCACCACAAACAAAGATGTTGTGTCCGCCGATAACCAAAAAATAAATATTAAAAAAAAAAGAGAGACTCCCCTTTTTTAAAAAATAAAATTTGAAGGATACGGGTGGCTGAGAGTATTGCTCAATGCTCTGAAGCATCATAATGTGAGAGGCCCTGGGATCCGAGTACTGGAGTACTAAAAAAGAAACAACATAAATGACTTTTGGGCTTTTTTTCTTAACCAATTAGGAATAGGACAATAGTAAGTTGCTGGGTTTTGTTTTGTTTTCCATCTTACCCTACTGTCCAAATTAAAAGATATATTGAACATATCATACATTTTAGTTGTAGATGGACACAATACCTTTACTTTTTTWAAAAAAAAAAAAGGTGATGCTAAGGATGGAACTGAGTGCCTCACATGTGCTAGGCAAGTGCTCTCCACCACTGAGCTACAACCCCAGACCTAGATTATTTATTTTTTAAGTTGTTGATAAACCTTTTTTTTTAATTCATTTATAGGTGGTGCTAAGCATCAAATCCAGTGCTTCACACAAACTAAGCAAGCACTCAACCATTGAGCCATAACCCCAGCCCCCTATATTATTCTTTTAAAAATAAATTATTCTTTTTCAAAAATTACAGCAGGGCACAGAGGCATACATCTAAAATCCCAGCAACTCAGGAGGCTGAAACAGGAGAACCACAATTTGAGGCCAGCTTCAGCAATTTAGGGAGTTCATGTCTCAAAATAAAAAGGCCCAGGATGTAGTCCAGTAGTACAGTGCCACTAAGTTCAATGCCCAGTACCTGAAATAAACTATTTTTTTCTTTAGTGTAATATCCCTAACATAGCAAAAAAAAAAAAAAAAAAATCTTATTTCAAAAGATAGTTGTCAAGAAGGCATTAGTGGTGCTAGGTATGGTGGTTCACACCTACAGTCCCAGCAACTTGGGCAATTGAAGCAGGATCATAAATTCCAAGCCAGCCTCAGCAACTCAGTAAGGCCCTAAGCAACTTCCCAAAATAAAAAACAGCCAGGCACAGTGGCACATGCCTATAATCCCAACCACTTAGGAGGCTGAGGCAGGAGGAACACAGGTTCAAGGCCAACAGCAGCAACTTAGCGAGGCACTAAGCAACTGAGAGACCTTGTCTCAAAATATAAAAATCAAAAAAATGAAAATAAATAAAGGGCTAGGGATGTGGCTCGGTGGTAAATCGCCTCTGGGTCAATCCCCAGTACCCCCCCACAAAAAAAAAAAAATAAGAAGAAGGAGGCATTAATTAGCAACCATTTCAAGAACTTTAATTTATACAACTCCTGAGGGGAAAAAAGATCTAGGGTTCAACAGTACACTCACTCTTTACTGAATGAATTCTTATTTGCTTGGGATGGGGTTGCTTCACAGAAATAATTTTTTTTAAATAACTTTTCTCTTTTTTTAAAGAGAGAATTTTTTAATATTTACTTTTTAGTTTTTCGGCGGACACAACATCTTTTTATTTGTACGTGGTGCTGAGGATCGAACCCAGCGTCACGCGCATGCCAGGTGAGCATGCTACCGCTTGAGCCACATCCCCAGCCCAGAATTAATTTTTATACTAGGCGAAATACACAATATAATTGCTTTCAAAATATAGTGGAATTGAATGGGGGTGTAGTTCAACAATACAGCACCTGCTTAGCATGTATTGGTCCCTGGGTTCGATCCAAAGCACCCAAAAAAATATAGATACACGCGTAAGTTATGTAATGTTAATTCCTAATAACCTAGCTCTAATATCATTGAACTGTGATATCTAATATCAACAAACCGTGTTAATAAATTCTTAAAGCAATATTCTAAAATGTATTAAAAATGAAAACTTTGTTGATTAAGCTGAACTTTGTATTTTCAAAGCCTCCATAGTAAAGGGATATTCTGGTAGAAGCAGTTCATATAACTGCTCTAGAAACAATTACAGCCCCCCACTTAGTCCACAATCCCCAACTCCAAAATCTACTTCTATATGCCAAAAGCTGGCATATGCCTCTTTTTGATTCTTTGATGCTCACTGAACAACTAAGTCATTTCTACCAGTATAGAAAATCCCCCACAATTTAGGACCACAGGCAATTTAGATTACTACTCATTTAAATGCAGAACCTGAAGTAACCTCCAGTGACAGGAGCTATAGTGTTCGATATCATTTTACATTTTACAGAGGCTTTATCTTACATACAAACAATGACCCTAGTTGGGTTCTTCATCCTAAACACTCAAAGACTGTTATTTCTTTAAGATATGAGTAAATAAAGAAACACAGTAAGTTCAGAAGAACCTTTCTAATAGCTACCAACATTTTTAAAGACAACAAAAAGAAAACAGCGTTCCCACCACATTTCCCTTTCCTTCTGTTCATTTTATTTCCCGGCTTTGGGTATCCAACATGCTGTGTTTCAAATAAAAATTTTCAAATACTTAGCCTGAAAACCAAAGATAACTCTAGAAAATGATGAACAGTCACTGCCTCCGAAGGGGAATTATAGGGTTTGAAGGGAAAGAGATTGATTTCTCAATGTTTTTGTACTTATTCGGTTGTATACTATATGTCCAAATAAACTAACAGTAAATTTGAAATTTTTTTAAAGAACAGTTCACGAACTTACAGGTTTCCATTAACATTTTAATTCAGGCAGCATTCGCTCAAGATCTATTATTTTTCCCCAATCACCTTTTAAACAACCTGCCGCAACAAAAACGCTTTCTTGCAGCCACATGAGTTAGTGGGAGCTGAGGGCAGGCATTTAAATCAAGGAGCTGCAGCCATCGCACTCCACACTACGACCCTCACTCATCTCATTCAACTCCGCGGAAAACCACTGCAGCAAGACAGCTGTTACGCGCCTTCCTGTTTCTTTACGGGCACAGGCTTAATAACAAAAACAGGTTGGCTTTGAGGCTCGGCTCAAAAACTGCAAAAAGGAAGTCTTGCCCGGGGTGGGGGGCAGTTTCGACTTGGAGCGAGTTTCACCCGCTGCGTGTCATTCCATCTGCGAGTCCTGAACTCCCCCTGCCGAGTGCGATTTCGAGATGCTCAGTCCCTCTCCTAACTGTTCTTCGGGTCCACTCCACCCCCCCCCCCAGATGCCCTCCAAATGCCTGGGAAGCAACTAAGCCTCCCAACGCCCCAGGCCCCTTTTTAAGGCAAGTGCGAGTCACAAACTGAACCCACGAAACCAGGAAGCCTGCCGCGAGGAGGGCAAAAGGTAATGAGGGTGGCCAGTAATCGCCAGGCTGACCCCGGCCAGCGGCAGGGCAGTAAGACGCCTCCCGACTCAGGAAACTGCCCAGAACCTGCCCGAGCCCAAAATGGAAATTCCGCAGAAATTCCGCGCTCGGGTCCCGTCCGCCGCCGAGTGCGGGAGGCAGCGCGCCGCGGGACCCGCCGACTCGGAGCGCGGCGGGGCGGCGGGAGGGCGGGCGGGGGTCTGCGCGGCGCCCCGAGCCCGGCGGCCGMGGCGGGCGGAGGAGGGGCGCCGAGCCCCGGGCGCAGCCCAGCGCCGCGAGGGCGGCGGGAGGACAAAACTTTGGGACCCCCAACTCCGCGGCGACCCTCGACGCGGGCACCCGCGCCCGCCCCGCCCGGGCTCCCGTCCGCCGGCGCCGGCTGCGGAGGCTGAGGGAGCGGCGTGGCCCCGAGCTGCCCGGCGCGCCCCTCCGCGCCTCGCCGGAGCCCCAGCCCGAGCCGCGGCTCGCGACAACCCGGGCGCCGCGCCCTCGGCCCCCGCCTCGCACCCACCCCGCGCCGGCCGCCGCCTCCTTTATCTCCACTCACCTCCCGCCGCCATTTTCCTGGCAGCTCAGCTTGAAGTCGGAAACTAGCCGCTCAGCCCGCAGCCACCGCCACCGACTCCGCCGCGGCCGCCGCCGTCGCTGTGAGGGGCTGAGGCGGCCGCCGCTGGAGCCGCGGCGCGGGGGCCGCTGGGATATGTAGTCCCGCGGCCACGCCCAGCACTACCGGTCCCAGGGGGCCTTGCGCGCCCCGCCAGGGCGTCCGCGGCGGAGGGCGTGGCCGCGCGGTACCCCGCGGCGGCCTTCGCCCCCGGCCCTCCCGGAGCCGGTGAGAGCTCCGGAGAGCTGGAGTGCCACCCTCGCCCAGCCCTGSGTGTTTATCAGGCTTGCCTTCATCCACTGGCGTCTGACATTTGTGGAGGGTCTGTCGTAGGCAAAACACGGGTCCTCAGGATCAGCATCCCTGGAGACCCTCCTTGGGCAGAGGAGCAAACCGAGGCCCCAGGTCAGAACCCCGAGGAGCCCGTGCGACGCCTGGCCACTGGGAGGAGGTTGTTGGGCCTCAGGATATTCACAGCACGCTCAGTTCCTGAGTGGTATCCCTCCCAGGGTTTCTGATTTACAACAGGGAACAGCTGSCTTTACCGTGGAGAGGCCGACGCCACCTCAACCAAGGGACAGAGGGAACCTGGCGTCACCCGCAGCCGGTCAGTGTGTGTGTCTCCTGCTACCATGCAACAGGGAAGGCCCAGAAAGCATGATCCGACCTCTGAAGCGTGGTTAAAAAAAAAAAAAAACCTTGATCCAACTGTAAAAAAAAATCATGGGGCCGGGGCTCAGTGGTAAGCGCTCCTCGAGCGCTGCTGCGAGGCCCGGGTTCAATCCTCAGCACCACATCAAAATAAATAAAGGTGTCCAACTAAAAACTAAATATTATTTTAAAATCATACAAAATAACCATACAATCTGGAATATGGAACACTGTTTGACACAACTAGCCTAGACATTTAAAAACATCAAAGCATAGAACAGGTGAAAACCAAATGCAATATGAGTTAGACCCAGAATAATCTTTCTACGTAAAGAGATTTTGGGGAGGAATGTTTTGTTGTTGAGAGCGTTGTTTTTTTAATATTTTTAGTTGTAGGTGGACACAATACCTTTATTTTGTTTATTTATTTTTATGTGGTGCTAGAGATCGAACCCAGGGCCTCCTCGCACATGCTAGGCTAGCGCTCTGCCCCTGAGCCTCAGCCACAGCCTGACTGAATTAGTATGAAATGTCTTAAGCGTGAATAAAATAATCTGGTAGCTCCACTGTCACCACCATCACACACACACACACACACACACACACACCTGACTATTGCAGCAGCCTCTTCACCGATCTCCTTTTTCCACCCTAACCCTCCTGGAGTCCGTCCTCCATACAGCATCAAGAAGGACCCCTGTAAAAAACAACTCTGTCTGTGTTCCTACTCCATAATCTTGCAGTAACCCCGGAAGTCCCACGGAACCTGTCCCTCAACTCCCTTTCCTCCCCTGAGCTCTTTGGCCACTTGTCTTCCACTCACTGCTGTACCCAGGGAAATGGGAACCCTCCGGGGTCTCCAATGTGCTTAACCCACTCCAGYCTCAGGGACCTTACTTGCTGTTTTTCCTGCCTAAAACCTAAATGACCCACTCCCTCTTCTCCCCTTGAACACTGTCCACATGTCACTCCTCAGTGAGAGGCTTTTCCATAATTGCTGTATTTTTACGTTCTTGCCCACTCGGACCCCAGCTTTCCCTGCCTTCTTCCCTGATTTGTTCCTCTCCAAGGTACCTTTCATCATTAGGAACACCATATATCTGTACTTACCTGTTATTTAATATCTTCTCTCCTCACAAGAATCAAAGCTCCATGAAGGGAAAGTCTCCTCTCCTTCCCTGATGTCCCTTCAGCACCTCCTGCAGAGCTTACCCATACCAGGTGTTCAGGCGMTGTTTGCTGCATGGCTGCGTGTTGGTGGCAGTAGCCTATCATCCCAGCTACTTGAGAGACTGAGGCAGGAGGATGGCAGGTTCAAGATCAGCCTCAGCAACTTATGAAGACCCCGTCTACAAATAAAAGTTCTTTTTTTTTCCTTGAGCGTTGGGGTGGTAGCTCAGTGGTGGAGTGCAGTATGCATGTATGTACGTACTGCAAGGATGAATTCACTCCCCTACCAAATGCAGGTAATAAGTAAATACCATATTAGGTACAGAGAATGCAGAGATGGAAACTAGACTTCAGGCCCCCATGGCCTTTCACCTGGGCAACTGCAACTGCCTCCCAGCCACTCTACGCTTCCTGCTTTTCTCATCGGCCCTCTGCAGCCATTTCTCACTAAGTAACAGAGGGATCTTTGTAAAATTATATATTAAGACACATCACCTCCAACTTGAACACCTTCCAATGGCATCCCATAAATTTTGGAATAAACCCAGACCCCCACTGAGCTTTCTTGATCTCAAACAATACATCTCTACCCATTTCCACCCAGGCCAGGCCAGACTCCGACTTCTGCATGTGTCTAGCACACTCCTGCCTCAGGAGCTTGGTGCGTGCTGTTCCCTTTGTCTAGAATTTTCTTTCCTCCTGACTTGTTCCCTGTTTTTATCCAGGTGTCTGATGCAGTGCCTCCTCAGGTAGAACTTACACAGCTCTACACAGAGCCTGGTGTGGTGGTGCTTGCCTGTCACCCCAGTGACTCGGAGGTTGGGACAGGAGGATGGCAAGTTCAAGGTCAGCCTGGGCAAATTAGTGAGACCCTGTCTCAAAATGCAATAAAAAGGGTTGTGGGTGTGGCTCAGTGCTAAAGCACCTGTGAGTTCAATCCTCAGTACCCACCCACCCCCAGAAGAAAAGATCAATTTACAGTTCAAATGCACTATATATGTGTGCAGAAAATACACATAGTTAAGCAGATACATATATTTTCATAGAAAGTATAACTGATATTAACAGTAAAAACTATGTACTCAAGTAGAGTCAGAGAAGATTCCAGGAAGAAGCAACTCCTGTGTTGATTTTGGTGGAGCTTCTAGGGGGATCCTTTCCTGAGTGCCAGCGGAGTGATGCTACTCTAGACCCAAATCCAAGCCAGCTGAGTCACAGGCTCGGGTAGAAGTCTGTGAAGAAAAGACACCTGCCTTCATTCTTTCCTCCCTGTCTGCACGGGCCACCCCCCTCCTCCATGAAGAGGTTGATCACATGTACCCTTCCTTGAACTGGGGCCGGCTCTGTGACTATTGCCCCACGGAAATGGCGGAAGTAATATKGGGAGGACTTTCAAGCTTGGGCCTTAAGATTATTGGCAGCTGCAAATGTCTTGGCTGGGCACAAGATCAGGAGGCACTCACAGCTTTGTAGATTCAAACAGCAATTCTTTATTCCCGAACTTACACCGGCCTCTACAAACACGTTCTGGGGAAAATCTCCTTCTGCCCGCACAATTCACGTCCCAAAAAAAACCTTCTCAATTCCAGGAGAACTCAGCGGGAACTCAGGCAGCAGGAATGCCCTATTCCCAGCAGCAATAATCTTCAACCTCCAACTTCCCTAAAACCCAGATTGTCTTAAACCGGGAACGCCCTAAACCCAAATTGTCTTAAACCTGGATACTTCCTAAAACCTGCAGGATACACCCTAATCCTGGATCCACCCTGGTCCTTGAGCAGGGTCACCTTTC